CCGTCACAGGCATGATGGGTGAATTCCCGAGGCACCCGCCGGGCGGCCGCGTGGGTGACCACCAGGGCAACGGCCGGCGCAATAGCCCAAAAGAAAAGGTATTCGAGACAGCTTGGCGTCAGGCACTCACCGGGTATGCTCATGAGAAGGACTTGATTTTTCACGCTCACGGCCCCCGCGAGAGGGGCCACCGCGGCCACGAGAGCTGCAGCAAGCGCCACAGACCTCCAAAAAAGTCTAACCATGTTGTTTGGAGCAGCGTTTGTGTGAACACGGCTGGTAGATCGCAGCAACTGAAGATGGTAGCAGCTCAGCAGCCTCTCCACCTGTACAACTTGCAACTCAACAGAGTGCTTGTTGAAGCCGGAACAGGAAACAAACGCAGTCTGCCAGAAAATGCCCCGGCTAGGCATGGCCGGCGTCACTTCTCAGTGACCATGACTCACGATGGATTTGTGCGCACCGAGGTGGCCGATGGAGGCGTGCGGTGTTTGCAGCGTGGCGATGTGTATGGGCAGATCTTACCTGTGATCAATCACACGATGGCTGCCGTCCTTATCGTGAAGTTGCAGGGAGCATTGGCGCACGCTGCACCCGTCCCGCCTCCAGCCCAGCGTCGGCGCCCTCGTCGCTTCTCCAGCGCCACAGGGTGCTAAGTGGCAGTGCCAGCATCAAGCCATCGCGCCGCCACGAGTGCGGGTTGTATCTTCTGTAGCTTCTGTGATTCTGGGGGGCCGGCCGGGGCCACAGCGCCGCGATGCGCGGCATGCTGCGCCGGTCCGCGCTGCGTGGTACAGCAGGTCAAGATCACGCGCCTCGCACATGACAGCCCCTTGAGCCTTAGGTCCCACGACTGCACCCACGTCGCCGTGCTTCGGCAGAAAAAGGGTTAGGCCATGGATGTGCACAGCAAAGGGATGTCGTCAATAAATGACAACTGCCATGTTTCTCACTCCTGCTGAAAACAACGTGCGCAAGCACGCGTGCACACAGCCCGCTGGATTGTGCTTGACACCACAACATCTGGAGCACCTGCAGGGAAGGGGCGCGGCGGGGGCGCCTGCCGCCCGCTGTGTGGGCACCCACAGCAGCCACTGTGCAGATCAGCCCTGTGCATGATCGTCCACGAAGGTGTGCGCCAGCTGTTGAGACCCTGTGCCCCCATCGATAGCGCCGGCCGCGTGCTGCAGGGACGCGTCCAATCAAGAAGCCTCCTTAAGGGGGTTTCTTGATTGGATCTGGGTGGCGGAAGCTTCCGCCGCCGAGGTCGCTGCATTCAGCTTCATCTCCCGGGCTTCCGCTGCTCGGCGCCCCGGCTGCCGCGGTCAGGGGTGCAAACGCTGCCGCTGCGTGTGGCCTTTGATACGCGTTACTTCAGCCTGTTCCAGCAGCAAAGGGAAGGCCCTTTGACAGGGAAAAGTGTCCGAGGACAGAGTTGAACCAGGGAAGCGAGCGCAACGGCTCGCACTGCTTGGGGTGGGTGGGTCGCAAACACGGCGTCCAAACGAAAATTTAGACGTCCAAGCAGGATGGTGAGCGACTGGTCGACTATCAGAAACCAATTTCGGGGCGACCCCACAGAAGGCGGGGTGGGGGGCAAACAGGCCGCGGCCAAGCAGGCAGCAAGCAGCGCGGCCATCGCAGCACGCGTGCCAACAGCGTGCGCGGGCGACGCGCTGATCAAGTCAGGTCCTGAAGCCAATCATTTCTTGCAGCATCTTCAGCTTGGTCCTGCCATCAGAAAGCAAGTACTTGACGGCATAGGCGTCCCGCGGCTTTGAGGGGTCCTGCTGCGACCTGAACTCGCGCCGCACCTCCGACATGACCTCACCTGAGGTGGGGGTGAGTCAATAGTGTGGGGGCGCGCACGCCGTCGTGCCGGTGGGCGTTGCAAGGTGGGGGTGTCTGCGTATGGTTCGTGCAGGGGTTTCAGGATACACCGCGGTGCCAAAAACATGAATCAGGGGTGAGGGTGGGGGAGAGCAGATGAGCAGACACGACCAGGCGCCACCAGCAGTGACATGGCTGCACAAGTCAACCATGATGGGCTTAGCCGTTCGGAGGTTGTCTTGAAGTGACCCCCACCTCTGTTACTGGCGGGGATTTGTCGACAGGTGCGGATAAAAGAGCGGTACAGCGCCAGGACCTGCGCCATGGCAGGGCAGAGCCAGCAGTGCTCAGCACAGAGCGAGCTGCAGGCACAACGGCAGGCTGCCCTCATCGACAGCCGTCAGGAACTACGACCTATGTAATGCTGTGGCTTTTCGTTGCTCATTGCGATAGAGCAGCTCGCGTAGCTGCAGGTGTTGGCAGAGCTGGAGGTCCGGGGCAACACAAGCAGGATGTCGAGTGGCAGTGCATCACTGCAGCGGCATTTTGTGCTTGCAAGGGCGCATCACCCGTTGCTTGGCCAGGCGCAGCGCATTCATCTCGTGAATTTCAACCATCCCACCTGGCTCCGCAAGATAAAGAGGCCCAGCTCAGAGTTTCGGGCCGCGCTCATCCAGCCTGATCTGCTCTAGCTGTTTTTGGTGAGGGTGATCATAATCAAAACAAAATTTACATCGTGACGCACTCACGTCTGTCTACATGCTCACTGCACACTCTCGCCTTGACCGCCAGGGTGGACAGTGTGTGGTGACCAGCGCCACCTATCCTTCCGTGTTGCGCTGCCATCCCTCGAGCGGACGTCACCCTGCCCGACGCAAACATCTCAAAGCTTGACAAGTGCGGTCAGTGCGCATGACCAGGATTTGAAACATGGCCGCCGTGCACGGCGTGTTGACCATCATGCCCCGCGCCGGTACAGCCGAAATAGGGCGCCCCTACCGGGTACTACCTATGCTATTAACGCTCCCCACCTAGTGGCACCGCGGCTGCCTCTAGTGCGGGGCGCAGAGAACCAGTGGCAGCTGTGCTTACCAAGTCAAGCGCTGGGCTTGCGCATGCGGATCAACGCATGTTGGCAGGGGCGTGAGCGTCGCAAACATGTGGGCGCATGGTTACCAGGGTTGTGCCCGGATGCGCCTGGTGGTCGCAACCCGCGACCGCCGCCTGGACTGTGGGTACCTGCAGGTTAACCAGTGGTCACCACAGCCCACGGCATGGTTGCCAGTATCCTGGGTTGCCGCAACCAGCCGTGGGGGCGGGCTGCAGCAACCCAGGGTTCCCGGGGGTCTGGGCCTGGTGGCTTTGCCCTCAACGTAACCTCATGCAGGGCCACTTCATTGATTTGATGCACACAACGCAGGTGCCACGATGTATAAATCTAAGCATGCACATACGGCAGTAGACGGCCAGATGTTCGGGCGGCCAGCTGATTGCCTGCCCAAAGGGCCCTGACAAATCTTGGGCAGTAATAAGGGATTTTTTTTGCAGCCACAAGCCTTGGCACTTCCCCCGAGGCTCACGCCTAAAGCGCGCAGCCCAGGCCACCGAACCCCTGGCAGTCCCCGCCTGGCGCACTCAACGCCCCATAAACCGATTTGCGCCCCACCCCTCAGCCCCCGCGCGCC